TATAAGACGGTAGCAGCAGCATTCGGCCATCAGTTGCCAGAAGGAATTACCACAGAACGAGGCGTACATGTGCTCGGAAGGAACCTCTTGCTGTTGTGGGAGGTGTGCGGTGTGTGTGGGTGGTCGGCCACAGAGCGCCTCGGTGGTATAACGCGGCGTAAAATCAACCGCAAAAAGGTGTATCCTAGATGAATGACTCGACGAGTATTTTGCCTTGCTCTTACTGCCTTGGCCTAGGCTTAGGCTTAGCTTCGCTCGTTGTATTCCACCTACTTGTATTGCAGCTAGTACAGGATAAACTACGGGCGTGCATGTGCGACTGTTGTACTGGCTGCAATGGGAGTGTTGCGTCGAGTGCCGAACGGCCAGTATCATGAGTATGGTGGAGCGCTACAGATATAGATCTACTACAGGACAATTATGTACTTCAGTACTCAGACTCTCAGTACCATGACCATGATGACTACTACTACTACTACTACTACTACTACTAGTACATGTAGTTGGTGCAGCTAGCTACAGTCACACATAATCGTGCATACCTTGCCGCAAACCAAGTACCTCGTGTATACCGTGATCCGCACACGAGTATACAGCAACGACCGAGTGCGCTGTTGAAGATAGCTGCCCCTGTCTGCCACACTCCCCTCCCCGATCGAGACAAAAATTCCCAGAGACAACACCGAAAGAAGTAGTTACTATAGTATAAAGACTATAACTTTATAAGTGAAAGCAACTGAGACTTGGAATTGTAATGGGATGTCGTGTACTGTCGCTCGTCTACGCAGAAACCCCTGTCGTGAAAAACCTGCGAAGAATGCGTGCTGGCGCGAATCGCGCGAATCGACGGGCTTCAATGCGCAGCACCAATGTAACAATGTTCTGCGCTCGGGCGGCAGGTCACACCGCCAATCTAGCAGAAAATCACCTGGGTCGCGCCAGAGTACGCCAGCAAACCTGCGAAGGAGCCAGGCTCTAAGGAGGTCGATTCCGCTGCTAATCGTCAACATGGTTTTCCCTGCGTTATACAGGCCAGCCGAGTAATGGCTCGCATTTCACGCGAATTGTCTCCAGTCAACGAGGCCAAAAGAACTTCCCAAGGCTGGCATGGAAGAATGTCGAGGACTGGCAGGGAATTGCGCCGTAATGTCTCAAGCACCCGCTGCCCTGTACATGCCTGGAAGAGACAGCGAGCTCAGCGGGGTTGTATCATGCCAGGAAAAAAAACAAGCCAGTTTGGGACGCCAAGAACTGCAACGGGTTTGGCAGCAGAACGCACGCAGAGAGAAAGGAAAAGGAAGACGAATTTCATTTCTGAAGGACAGCCTTCTGCGTGTCGCGAAAGGTCAGTGCCAATCCAGGAAGTGAGGTGGAAGTATTCGTCGGTGACGGGATGTATTGGCAGCGCTGTCACCACTGTGTCATCACGTTCGGTGCGGCAGTGGACTGCCGGCAAGCGGATATGGCCTCTACTTGTGCTGAAAAGCCACATAAGCCGACGTACAGCTCGGGGCTAGTAGCAACAATTTCCAGTAAGCGACAGTACCTGGGCCTTCGTTTACTGCTGCTTCTGGCATTGTTTCTTCCGGCGCCGACTCGGGCCAGGTATGTCGTGCCATCATCTATGTATTGTTATCTGACATGCATGATCTATCTTTTGCTTGTGACGCTAGCGAGAGTCGTACACGGTGCACAAGAAAGTCTGACAGAAGGCAAGAGCTGGCCTAAAAAATTGGCAGTCATGAATTTTTTTAAATGTTCACTAGTCAGTAAGTAAGTTGAGGGAATGGAAAAGGTGAAAAAAACGAGACTGACTCTTGACAGACTCCCTGCCTGAATAGGGCTATGTAATATCTGGGCTATGTAATATCTGGGCTATGTAATATCTGGGCATTGTAATAATGTTCATGATTTTTCTGTTCAACTTTTTTAAGTACATGTATCCTCGTACGTTTCCTGTGCTAAAAGTGGGAATACGCAGGTTGCTAGAGTGCTCAACACCGCAAGGATGGAGCAATACCACCGTTTGAAAGGCAGAAGAGGACGGTGGCAACCGGTTTAAATTAATTATAGTTGCGTCTCTGCGTTTCATACGCATAGCAACTAGCAAGGTGAAAAATCCTCAGACAACTGATGACCTGTTCATCATCTGGCTACAAACTTATTTTATACAGGCAAGAAGTAAAGTGCAACATTGTCGTAGGTGAGACATGGCTCGGATGGTTTCAAAAAATACCGATGATGAGAAACTGTGACGTCCAAATGGTACTAACGAAGTCGATCTACGGAAAGTCTTTTTTAAAGTGAACTGCATGCGGCTCTGTGTTACGCCACACGGAGTTTTCACATCACATACATGTAGCTGCCCTTGGCAACTCCGAACGCGGCAGTGCAGCACAAACCTTTTTTTTGTAGTGTACGACCTGATCGATCTGGGGAGAGTCATACATGTGTACCCCAATACACTTACGGAGCACCTACGTCATCTGAGCCCTATCTACGTACTCTACGCAGACAACGTTCCATAAGCGGAGTGCAAACTCACGAATTCACAGGTTTTCCCGCCCACTAACGTAAAGTTGCTCTGCTTTACGTAGCGGGGGACCTCTCTATTATTGGAAGTTACCGCTATTAGTTGCCAGATATAAAAATAATAGAATCCTGTTTGTAAGCATACTTCCACTTTTCTTGTTCGATCTTTAGACGTAAAAGGTTGACTTCTAACTGGGAAAATACATCATACCAGCTCACATTGAAAAGCCCCCCCCCCCCCCCCTACACACAAAAGCAACCACAACTCGTAAGGTGTTTATTCGGTGCAGTCCCGGATTGTATGTGTGCAGGCCTTTATTAGTGATAAATCCTCTGTCTCAACCGGTATTACTGTGGATCAGGGAGTACGAGTACTCCTGGCTGTAGATTAAAAGAAAATATCTCTGAGAAGCCGGGCGACTAAAGTGCAAGGCTGTTGAATGCATGTTATGATTGACATATTGCCGTTATTATTGGTGTTCCACTTCACAAGTTTCTTACTCTGTAGCTGGACTGCTGGGCCACAAACACACACACACACACACACACACACACACACACACACACACACACACACTTCAGACCTCAGACCTGCCCATCGCGGAAGCGATGATAGCGAACAGCTATGTTAGACATAGCAACTTGTGCTGGGATTGCACTATTCAGCAGCTTGCAAGGGCTGATGAATTGACCGCCACTAATTTTAGCCTGGTATCCACCACACAGCTAATTGAAGTGGCACACACACACACACACACACACACACACACACACACACACACACACACACACACCACACACACCACACATACACACACACACACCACACACATGCCACACACACACAACCGCACACACACAACCGCACACACACAACCACACACACACAACCACACACACACAACCACACACACACAACCACACACACACACACACACACACACACACACACACACACACACACACACACACACACACACACACACACACACACACACACCTGTGGCACACATAGATCATTGACAAGTACATGATGACTGACGTCTGTACAGGCTATTAAAGGGGAAGTTAAGGCAAAAACGAGAGAGCTTGGAAGCTCAGGGCCCTGCGCTATGCTTTTATGCTTTTTTGCCTAGCTCATCGTACATGTTATAAGAACTGATGGAATTGTCTTTTTCCGTTCATTGGCCACATCACTGTATTGCAAAAACGTTTCAATCGGTTTGAATATTATGAGTTAGGCAAAAGTATTTGCAGAATTTATTGCGGATTGTTGTTTCTCTAATAATCATCTACTTTTGTTTTGCTCCTTCTTTAATTTTTATCTCCTTATATTGTAAATCAACAAATTTTGGCCGATGAGAAATAGAAACCTCTCGATTAGAGAGGTTAAGATGCACGTTATTTCCGACGTGACGCGCAGTTTCACGTCAAATTTGAAATCGATCGGTATTTTTGCTCTCACATGCATCCATTGCTCAATCATGCATCATTTGCCTATATGACAAACGTTGGCCTGCGATTTACTTTGTCCGGTTGGTACCAAGCGGCGAAATCAGCGAAATTAAATCGCCAGCGAACATTAGTTGATTTTAATACAGGAATCGGATTTTCTGGCCTTTTTGTAGTAATACATCTACATTGACCTGTTGAGCCAATGACGACGCCGAATGCATGGTTGCCTGAGGAGCACATTACATAACTTTACAGTCTCCTAAAATCATGTGACGTATCCTGTCCGACGGCAAAAGAGGCTGCAGATTTAGTTTTTCTGCGCGTCGACGGGATGTCTGCGACGCGAAAGTTCAGCTGGCGTTATTTGGCTCGCACGTCGAAAAATCAACGCGAGTGACCTGCTGCTCACGTCGAAATTTGGACATTACATAACTTTACAGTCTCCTATATAAATACGTATCCTGTTCGACGGCAAAAGAGGCTGCAGATTTTGTTTTTCTGCGCGTCGACGGGATGTCTGTCCTGACGTTTACTGGGACCGGCGCTGACTCTGCCGATCACGGCGTTCTGGACTCGACGGGATGTCTGTCCTGACGTTTCCTGGGACCGGCTTAGACTCTGCCGATCACGGGCGTTCTGGACTCAACGGGATGTCTGTCCTAACGTTGCCTGGTACCGCCGGACTCTACCGACCACGGGCGTTCTGGAGTCGACGGGATCTTTTGTATTTGTATTTATATCATTATCTCATGGCACATCATGATGACGGCAAATAAAACTGAGACAAGGGTGAAAGCCAACCACAGCAGTAGAACAGATAAAAGAATACAAATAAGAGGCAAAGAAGGCTCTCTTCCGACGTTTCCTGTGACCGGCACTGAATCGCTCGTTCACGCTTATTTTGGAGACGACGGGATCTCTCTTCCAAAGTATGTTTATGCTGACGCATCCTATCACCTTATCGGCGTCTATTCTAATTTAATTTCCTCCTCGTCTCCCTATTTCTTTCCAAATCCCACTCTACATCAGGGAGTCGTATGCATAATACGACGAATATTGGTACGGTACGGGACAGATACAGGAGCCCGCAAATATTGTGGACAGCTGTTATGTACAATCCTGTAGAGCCTTTGTAGTCACAGATACGGGACAGATACGGGACAGATACGGGATAGCGCCATGCGTGACACAAACAAACAAACAAACAAACACACAAACAAACAAATACCAAATTAAAGCTGTGTGGACCCTGGCTAGCGCCAGACGTTACTGAAGTAACGTCTTCTGCATAGCTACGGGAATTAAAATTTCACCAGTTGTAGTCTTCGGGGTGCTGAGTCGAATGGTCTTGGTCCGAGAAAGCTGAGACGCTCCCTTCCTACTTGAATCCCAATCGAACTCGCGCACTTCCACCGAAACTGGGTGACTGCGCCCTACGAGATGGGGATTTGTATGCAAAATGTCACTAAAAGCGCCATTTCGTTCTTATAAAAGCACGGATGACCGCGATTGGCCCATATGTTGTAGTCTTTTGGACGCTGAGTCGACTGGTTTTGGTCCGAAAAGGCTGCGATGCAGCGTTCGCCCCTAATTCCCAATCGAACATGGTTGAACAAGCGGTCACGTGCTCCTGCGTACACCAGCCACCTGGTCACCGTGCCTGCAGGGTACAACTTACAGCCTGTTTTGACCTTTTTTGGGTGCAGTCCTGTCACTCGAGTTGAACCTTGGTGTGAAAGTTGTCGCCTGCTGGCGTGGTGACCAGGTGATTTTGGCACCCAGGAGCACGTGACCGCTTCTTCAACCATGTTCGATTGGGAATAAAGGAGGAACGCTGCATCGCAGCCTTTTCGGACCAAAACCAGTCGACTCGGCGTCCAAAAGAGTACAACATATGGGCCAATCGCGGTCATCCGTGCTTTTATAAGAACGAAATGGCGCTTTTAGTGACATTTTGCATACAAATCCCCATCTCGTAGGGCGCAGTCACCCAGTTTCGGTGGAAGTGCGCGAGTTCGATTGGGATTCAAGTAGGAAGGGAGCGTCTCAGCTTTCTCGGACCAAGACCATTCGACTCAGCACCCCGAAGACTACAACTGGTGAAATTTTGATTTTTGCCTTAACTTCCCCTTTAAGTAACCAGTGTAGTCTCCACGTATATCGGAGAACAAAAAAACCCCAATGTAATTTTGTGTGTGTGTGTGTGCGTGCGGGCGCGTGCGTGCGTGTGTGTGTGGTGTGTGCGTTTGTGGAGTGTGTGTGTATGTATGTGCATGTGCATGCATGTCTTTGCATGTGTGTGCATGTGCATTTCCAATGCACAGGTATGGATCCTGGCAGTGCACGGCCAACAAGAAGGTGGTCAGCCGCGGCGACTTTCGTAGCTACCGCTTCGCGCCCGTCCTGTCGCCGCGCATACGGGCCTTCCGCTGGTCGACCGCGCTGCACTACCTGAACAACCTGACGTGCGTGTACCGGCTGCGCGCGCCCTTCGGCCACCACATCTACTACGAGCTGCCGACGTTCGACCTGCACTCGAACTGTCGCGGCGACAACGTGCTGATCGCCGGCGGCGACCGGACGCACCGCATGCTGTGCGGCAGCGGGCGCCGCCTGCTGCACCCGTACGGCATTGTGCGCTCCAGCGCCGTCACCATGAAGTTCAGCACGGACGCCAGCGGCACAGCCACGGGCTTCTCCGGCTTCTTCGCCGCGTTCAAGCCTCACGGTGAGTCGCCGCACATTCATTCTCCCGCTAGTACTCAGCGTGTAGAGTTTGCCAATGCCAGAGGATTGAAAGGTGTCTACCGGTACTTTCCCGAGTGGAAGCAGCACCCAGATTCTGTCGCGAAATACAGACGTCTACCCTGTTTATCATCGTTAGTTTGACCATCGTAGTATGAGCCGCATGCGGCTTGTACTCCGGAAAATACGGTATCTTGTAATCTTCGCTGCATGCGCTCAACAGCCCCGTCTTCCTACGTTCTGTTTGTTCTTGATGCAGCAAACCTTGACCTGGCATCTCTGAAGGCTGGCAAGGCGCCAATACGAGCCAAGCGAGAAGAGCAGGTGAGTGGGTACAACTCGCTCATCATGTTTCTGTCACAGATTACCCTTATCAACGATGAAAGGCACCCTATTTTTATAAAGTGCATACAGGATTGGTCCTTGGGATCCAAAAACAACTCTTCACGTCAGACCAGTTTGTCTCAGCTCCAGCACGACTTAGCACCGCTTATTTAGAAAAGCGATCCTGTCAGCTTTTCTATTATTGTGTTCACATGGTAGAAAAAACGACACCGCTATGCTACGTAAGTTTCTACGTAAGGTGCTCGGTACTTCACTTAGGCTACGTAAGTTTCTACGTAAGGTGCTCTGTATTAGATCTACCAACGGGTGGTAGCCGCGTTCTGTGCACGTGCACGGCAGACATTGTGTTGCATGCAGTGCAGTCCGTTTTCGGATGTGCATGCGCGAGGAACTTCCTTCTTTGGAACTGCTTCTTGCATGAGATGTTTCGGATATGTCGTGTCCTGGCTTATTTCGCTTCGGCTCTGCTGAGACCTCTTTTCGCGGAATATTACTCAATGACAGCATTGACAGGTGAGTTGACCAGTTCCCTTTGATTCATTTGCTTGTGTTGACTCTTTCATTTACGAAAAGTGTGCTGATTTTAGGTGGAATACAATAAATAATGGAAAAGCTGACAGGATCTCTTTTCTAAATTTAGCTTTTCTGCTGTCGAGGCCTCCTTTTACGGAATACTCAATGACAGGTGATCTCTGAGTTGACCAGTTTCCTTCGATTCATGTGCTTATGCTCACCCTTTCATTTACGGAAACGTGTGCTGATTTTATTCGGATTTAGATCCATTCGTATCTCTTTGCCCTTGCCAACAGTGTGCGAAGAACGCGAGTTCACCTTCTTGACGGTAAGGCTTACATTGTATGTTGCTGCTGAGGCTTAGATGTGTTGTCGAAATACTCATGTTCATTGTACATTGGTACGTTACAAGTAAGGCACTGGTCATGATTGCTTCCGGCATTCCGTGCCCCGATCATAGGGTAGAATCTGAATTTTGCAGTGGCATAGCATCGTTGGCAGTTCCCAATCTGTAGGGGAAGGTTCAAGGACGCATTGGCCGAGTACTAGTATGCAAAATATATTCGCATATCATATCAGGGAAAATCTCCATTATGGAGAGGTTCATGCATTCAGTGACTTGTTTGCTTCATACGAAACAAGCCAATGGGTGCAGGCTCGTCTCGTGAAAATCTCATACGATTGGATTTGTTTACTCGAGTCTGGGCTGTTTGATTTGTGAGTAGCGCCGGTAGAGCAAGAATTACGATCTGCAATCTGTTTGTTGTACCTGCAAGAATGTGCTGTACATGTATCGTATTTTCTCTGTTGTTGTTTCAGTTGCCGTCATGCTACTAAAGAAAGGTTCAGTGACTCATTTGTTTCATAAAAGACGAGTCAATGGTTTGGTCTGGCTTAGAATCTTTCGCTGTAGAAGAAATCTATTCGTGTCTCTATTGGAGAAATAATTGTATTCACTCGTTATAAAATAGGGTTAAGACAAACTCACAGAGCAAATGCCATCGGTCCCTTGATTTTCGTCCTAAAGAGGTTTGACTGGATATCATTCATACTCCCCCAAAGTCGTGTAACATGTTATTATTATGGAGTGCCTTGTTTATCTCTCAGTACCTCCAACCATATATCCTTGCCCCTTATATCCTCAGGATCAGTGTAGTTGTTGGAACGAGGTGTCGGACTCAGCAATGTATTTGTTTACATTTTAATACATGTTTATTGTTCCTACTTTGCTGTGTTGTTTTAGACAATCGTGGACTTGTAACACTTTGAAGTCATTGAACTGCTTCCAAAAGTTTTATCGACATCAACAGGATTACGATTTCACTACAATATGATGCCGGATGACCTTATCACGACAACCCATGACTACAATTATACACACAGAATCAACAAAAACATCTGCGGCACGCACCTGGTTACAATTCTCATGTAAATGTGATTTAGGGTGTGGACATCTGAATTTTCTGAAAGACAAGACAATTTTATGACAGAGTCATGAAATTCTGCAACATCCACAGAATGACCTGCGTATAAAAAAAAGGTATCACCGCCACTGCACTACCCATATGATTCCCCTGCAGAAGAACATGAGTACTGTGTAGATGTATGCAAGACTAGTCCCATTTTCTGCAAGAAAAGGCTTGCACATCAATGCGTATAATACGGTATTGAATTTGATATGATACACGTACATGTACATAGGGGCTCCCGTAAGAAGACCATAGGTCTGTGGAAAACACCCTAGTAAAATAAATAAAATAATGATAATAATATCCTTTTAATAGCCAAAAAAACAAAAGAAATTATAGCAATAAAAACTGCTTTATGGCAGTTTTCTAAAAAAAGTTATTGTGTTCTAGTCCATGGACCCCGTCTAAAAAGTAAGAAATTAACGAAATGTGATAGCCGAAAATTAAAATTTCACACAAAACCTCACAATAATCACACACAGGATGCAAGACGACCTTTTCCCCTCGTGGTCCTCTTTCATATGCAAGCATGTTGGCGCAGTACATATGTACTTGTACAAGTACAAGTGTCGGAATAAACAAGTGTTGAAAGCCGTACTATTAAAAGTATTAGATCTTCAAGTGTCGTGATTATTGTGAGGTTTTGTGTGAAATTTTAATTTTCGGCTATCACATTTCGTTAATTTCTTACTTTTTAGACGGGGTCCATGGACTAGAACACAATAACTTTTTTTAGAAAACTGCCATAAAGCAGTTTTTATTGCTATAATGTCTAATAGAATTGATCCCTAACCGTAGCATGTTCCCATTATTGTGAAAAGAGTTGGAGGGCGTGAAAAAGCCAAGATTAAAGTAAAATTCAGGAGGCAATCCTCCTTTTGCAGTACATTCCTCATCAGTGGGCCATGAATGTCGCATACCAAATGCATAATTATAAGTGTTGGCTGCTACTTCGGAAGTACTAACAAGTTACACGTCTAATATTTGTCTGGATAGATGGCATATTATATTGATTGTTTGGTGCGACACTTGATCTTTGGCTTGAGGGTGGTGGCGTTCCTGCGGATGCGGAAAACTCGGCGTCCAGCGGAGTGTCACCCGAACCGTGATTTTTTTAGGGCAACAGGCGGCAGGTGGTGTTCATTGTATTGGTTGCTTATTGTTTGCTGGTGTGGTACAGGCGGGGGACGATGATGACCAGTACAGTGAACCTAAGACGGCAGTCGGTGAGATCAACCTGCAGCAAATGCGTGTGCTGACCGGAGAGGCGTCGCTGGACAGCTACTGCCGCAGCATGAAGCGCTTCGGCTGGGAGCTGGCCACCTCCAGCTGCGTGATCCACTCCGATCCGTGGAGCGTGCCGTCGCGGTCGCTCACGCACGCCTACCGCTCCAACAGCAACGACGACGCGGACTTCTATGACGCGGCCATCCGCGTGCTATCGCGGCGCAGTGTGCCCGGCAATGTCATCTCCGATGTACCTACATCCAGCTTGCCCAGCCACGCCCGAACGACTGCGAATCCGCTAGTGCAAGCTGCTGTCCGTCGGCACGTACGCAGGCAACGCGAAGAGGTCGCCCGCGACACAGGCCAGATCCCCCGTGCCCAGCGTAGCAGTTCTCGTATGCGATGGCAATAGATGCATTATTTCTAACATAGCCTAGGCATTGTGCATATTCTTGCACCTTAAAACCCCAAATTCGGCTACGCAATGGGTCCACCCCATTGTCCATGCGGATCCACTTGAAAATATAATTAATTTATAAAAATGATTTATTTTTATTTTACACTTTCCCGTTCAACTCCCTCAAACTTGGGAATCATTTTTACTCCATAATCATTTATCAACTACGCACCGTTAGCCATCCAATAATGTGACTCTCTGCTGGGAATCCTGACTAGTTGATACCACAAGATGGGATCACAGGGTGGTGTAGATAGCAGTAGCCATTGCTTAGCATAATATGCGAATGGGCAGAATAGCATGTTCTTACCAGAATCCGTATATCAGGCAGAATCTATAGCTAACCTTGTATGTCACGGTAGCAAATCACTCCTACAGTTATTTAGTAGTCAACGTCCCAATATGCAGTCAACTGATTTATGGACTGTGTAGCCCCTAGCGTGTGGTGGAAACAGCAGCAAACACCCCTAGGTAGGTGCTTATCATCCCATTCTTTTGCTTTCTTAAGCCCTTATCACAATGGATATAACCAAATAAAAATCTGGCAAATGAATGGACAGAAGCCATGTAAACATCTTGGAAAATCAAGAAACCTAACTGCAACGCTATCTGAGTATCAGATAGACTCTACCGTTAATGTGAACGTATTAGTGAGTTTGGATATAAGGATTTCTCATGCAAAATTTAATTTATACACAACATTTTTCCTAATGGAGAAGATAGCAGCAGCCCGGCACATTGCACACAGCGAATGATGTACACGGAATGTGAATTAGGTGTAGAAAAGAATTTCTGTACAAAGTTCGATCAACATACAGGAGAAATGGCAAAGAGACTGCCTTGCAGGGCAACACCATGAACGATGTCACCGATGCTCTCAATACTGTGCATGACGTCATTGAAGTACTCCCCTGATGTCGTTGATCTACTCCACATAGCCTGCTGGGGAATACCAAGAGCAGTAAACTGCTTACGCAAGGCATGATGTGGCACAATTCTTCACAAGAGTTCGAGCATACGGAATGTAGGACAGACAGTACCTGCAATGGGGACAAAACATTGTAGCAAAACACTCCATGAATCTACTAAGAGTGGGGGTGACAACGGGAATCTTAACACTGAGGTCTGAGGGAAGGAGGACGTGCAGTGCTGCTCAACGAAACATGACCGCGGGAGTCAAGTCAGCGTTCCACACACCAGCTCACAGCCCAGTGCGAGCAGGTCTAGGGCTGCACAACGGCCAGCGTGTACGTTTAAAACTCACACAATCAGACTTCATAAAGCAGCACTGCAGACCCCATTATCATCTTGGATCAGAGCCGGACCGGGTACAAATGGATACTTCACGTCATTTCTTTCTGTTCACTATGGAAACGTGTCCCGAGTTGTCTCCCACAAAGCTCGCTTCACATAAAGGGTTGTTTAGAACGCGAACCTGATCTCGAGGATGGGAATTCAGTAAACATCTTCTGGTTTCGGCTTGACGTACATAGAACTACTCGATTTGAATACAAGCTTGATGCAAACAGAACTCGGGCCATCCAGTCTTTCTGCACGAGGAGTCCGTGTCTACGCAATAGAGTGCTCATCGGAGAGGAATTGTGAGGTGAAACATCCACTTCAAAATGATCGTAATGACCTCGTCAAGTCATGCTCCTACTTGTATGTATGAACGGCACACCAAACACAGCGGATGGAGTGAGTGTATGCTACTCACCATGCCATTGCCAGAAACTGCACCAAACAGAACACCAGGGCCAGAACTGGGATTTTCCACTGCAAACAACAAGACAGGCAGGGCGAGAGAGAGAGAGAGAGAGAGAGAGAGAGAGAGAGAGAGAGAGAGAGAGAGAGAGAGAGAGAGAGTGAGAGAGAGAGTGAGTGAGAGAGAGAGAGAGAGAGAGAGAGAGAGAGAGAGAGAGAGAGAGAGAGAGAGAGAGAGAGAGAGAGAGAGAGAGAGAGAGAGAGAGAGAGAGGAGAGAGAGAGAGAGGGAGAGAGGGAGAGAGAGAGGGGTGGGAGGGAGAGAGAGAGAGAGAGAGAGAGAGAGAGAGAGAGAGAGAGAGAGAGAGAGAGAGAGAGAGAGAGAGAGGGAGAGAGAGAGGGGTGGGGGGTGGGAGGAAGGGAGAGAGAGAGAGAGAGAGAGAGAGAGAGAGAGAGAGAGAGAGAGAGAGAGAGAGAGAGAGAGAGAGAGAGAGAGAGAGAGAGAGAGAGAGAGAGAGAGAAGAGAGACGGACGGAGAGAGGCAGACAGAGAGCCGAAAAATACATTGTAACACCTCAACAACAGAATTGCACCACAAAAAATATCTGCAGAACGATTAGGAACACAAGAGAGGGGAAAGAAGAGGGAAGTTGAAGCTATGAAGCTAGCATTCTTGCCATTCTCATTCTGCAATCTATCTCAATTCATTTCGCATTAATCATTGTTGTTTTTAGCTATTCTTCGTTGTGGTGTTTTTAACTCCTCTTTTTTTTCACGGTTCGCGTGAGAGTTTTCCGCATGCGCAGGAGCGCCACCACCCTCTTGAATTAAGGCGCAAATACAGCTCCTAAAGCGGTGGGAGGTGAGTAGATCAGACCCACCGCAAAGTGGTCAATGACCGAAAATCCCATTCACTGCATCCATGTTTCCCTCGTGCAAGGCCACGAGTTCCCAATTAACTGTAGGTTGCAGCACACCTCTTTGCTGCACATAATTCATTGTTCTTGCTCTTGTGCTGTATACGTGATGTGATAAGGCCTGGGCTCGTGGCTGTTTTACATACTTGCTGTGCTGGACTAGACGTCCGAGAATGTGAGCTCTCTTTCCTTGTCTTTCAGTCCCTTGACTATTACAATAACTATACGAACCTGTGTGGTGCTGTGTGTGGGCCATGTCGCGTACGCGATCTCCACATTTAATATTTGAAACCTAAAACATTTACACACGTTACGTAATTTCTCGCAGGACGTGAGCTCTCATGTTTTGATAACCAAGGCGCATGTTTGCGCTTCTGCGCCTTTTTTTTCTTCCTTTCCTCGGTTGGAAAAAGAGATAGAGAGAATCCCGAAGAGTTTGGAGTATTTGGAGTGTATGTGCCTTATGATTGGAGTGACGGAGAGAGATCTAGAGTGTGAGATTTAGAGGCTCTGGTGAGTACTGACATAAGGAAGTGGTTTATTTTACAGACAGACGAGTGTAGATATAGTGAAGAGTCAGGGAGGCCATGCCCAGCAGAGCATGGTATCGTGCGTAGCACGGGGGTAGTGAGAGGTCACGTACCGTCTATACATGGCGACAGACAGGGGAAGGACTATGCCGTGAATGGGTGAAAGGATAACATGATACAGGATAGGACAAGAAGGTGCATGAGCCGTAATTGGAGTAGTAGTTCATCGAGTGTGATAGTGTTATGAGTAAGGTACATTTCAGTCTTATTCTCTCCCGACAGACTCTTAGGGTCAGACACAACATCTTGCCTGTGTTTCACCTGAAGAGAAGGCACGAAAGTTTACTTGTGAAAATTATGTTGTTGAGGAGCCTGAAGTTTGTGCTACTATTGAATGCTATAGCTTTTTTGTCTCAAAGGAAACTTTTTACGTAAATCATTTCACATAAAAGTTGTAATATGACACATCCTGTGTATTCGTTGTGTGACAAGACAAGGTTCCTTACCCATACTGCGGCGCAGATTGTTAGAACAATTGCAAGCTGAGCAATAAAACATGCAAAAACAAATCCAGACAAACATGCACAGGGTTAACAACACACAGGAACACAATACAAATACACACACACACACATATGCACACGTGTGCACATATATAAGCACATGGTTCACAACACACATACCGGGTATACAGACAGACAGACAAACAAACAAGCAGAGAGACATACAGACAGATACACACATACACAGGGTACAGTTGTTGTAGTACGTTATTTTGTGTACGTCGTGTGTACGTCATGTTGGTGCATGCGCGTGTTGTTGAGGTGTGAAAAGCAGTCTTCGTCTCCAGTTCGTCATGTCTAGTTGTGTTTCGTCGTCGTGTCAATAAACAGTCTTCTAAATGTAGTTATCGTCGTCCCTTTGTATAAGTGTGGAGATGGCATGGGACTGGGAGAAGGTGGAGAAAAGGCAGATACAACACAGTCACATAACACATGTATACATGTATTATAGAAAGCAAGCTAGGTGAGCCAGGACATGCAGCACACCCTGGACTCGAACAGGAATCTGCCCAGTGACATCATATTCCATTCACATGACTCCATGATACATTACCTATCACCAGGGGATACAGCTGTGTAAGGGTAAGTTCATAAGACTAGTGTAGTGTAGGTTTCATTGAACAAACAGTTCTAGTCAGGCACAGCTGGTGCTCAAACTAACCAGTACGACTATCGTTGCTATGAAGCGCTTCTCCTCAAACATACGCTTCAGCTGCTTGCATGGTCCCATCAAGAACATCGAGCTGGGAAAGAAGTATGACATATGGACATACAGAGAGAGAGAGAGAGAGGGAGAGAGAGAGAAATGGAGGGAGGGCAAAAGATTAGAAGGAAAACACCGGGTCTTCAGGCCTCTCACTAACTACTACAAGTAGTAAACAAAACAATGCCATATACTTTGGCTGGTCCTGAGCAAAGCAACTACAGACTCGCCACTACTTGACAGCATACAGCTTCCCAGCAAGGCCACCCACAAAGCCCAATCTTGCTTCCTCTTTCTCACAGAAGAAAAAAGTGCTTCAAGAAAATAGTATGGGAAAGAAATTGAGTGTCTAGATACGGTCTAACTACTGTAAAGTGAGAAACTTTCGCTAGAGATTAAATTTCGCTATTTTCGCGACCATCACACATTCGCGAATATAAATCGCCGCAAACCCCTCCGTACATTGATTGTAGACAGTACAAGATCCGACTGAAGAGATAGAATTGCAAAAGTTTCTCATCGTAAACCAGCCCAATTTATGAAAACGCTAAATTTGCGCGCCGCGAAAGTTTATCGCTTTACAGTATAGGGACGGTGGGTGTAACACTACTGCACGGTAAAATTACAGTTTGCTGGTCCGCGCCGAATATGCGTCAAAGTAAAGAATAGAGGTGCGAGGACTAACGTCTGAATGCACCTGGTTCTAATTCATTACAGGGACAGCGAGACCTCTAAACGTAGTACTGAGCACAAAGGGAGTACAGTCAACTTTGTTAATAACGACTGCGGATATAACGACATTTCGCGAATAAGGACAGAATTTCCATGCCCAGAGCAAAGTCCATTCTTCCTGTACCGGTATACATATAATGAGACTTCGGTTATAAGGACACTTCGCGGATATGGACACTTTTCTGATGCCCCGCTGAGTGTCAGTATAATTATGCAAAGTTTCCTGTAGTTCCACAGTGAAGAATATACATGTGACATTCGTACCTGGTCAGGGCTATTAAGCTGCCACAGGAATAGATTAGCGCGAATGCAGTGTACTTCTGCAGAAACACCATGACGACACCCTGCAGGCAGAAGAGGTAGAAAACAGAAGGCAGCAGAGAAAAATTAGTGCAAGCAATTCATCCGTCACCTGTCATGCCTGCACCAGTGCGTGAAAAGGAGAAGAGACACAGGTAGCACAGAAGACGGGGGATACGCTATGCCACAGTCCACAGAGTGGCTACTGTTTACTGCCGACGTCAACGCACAGAATGTCAGCAGCTTATACGGTCTCGATACGTTGACGCACGCTGAAAAACCAAACACAAAGCATTCTACTAGAGCTGTGTAACTAAAAGACACGTTGGCAGAAAGAATATTAATTTCATGCTACCTGTATTCGGGTTTGATCCTAATGAAACCATACACGGGTACAAGCTTAATTGTGCGTGAACGCAGTCAGCCATACGGGTGGGCGTCTTCAGGACTTACGATAATGGAGAGGGCGATGCCGATGACAAAGCAGATTGCAAAGCCCTTGATCCGCGTTGACCAACTGAGACTGCCACAGCAATCCAGCTGCGGAGGCAAACGTGCACATTGACACACGGGTACCGAGGTCACACATGCAAGTACACAGCCGCGCAAGAAAGACATTGACAATTTATTTATTTCTAGGATTTGCGAAAGGCAAATGAAAGGCAAGTGAATGCCTATCTGGGAGTCTCCCAAAGAATATGAGGTGTGTTATGTTGGTAAGTATTATTATATTCCCAGATTCACGACATTGATATTGGGAAACAGGAAGAAGAAGAACAACCATTGTCGACACGACAGGAAGAGAACAACTCTGAACAGGAGAGTGTGCGTGCATATGCGGGAAAGCATGCACGTGCGTATACGGTAGAGTACACGTATGAGACCAGAAGTGTGCCTATGCGTACATGCCCTAAGTGGGTGCACATCACCATAAATAAGTACATCACCAGGTGTGGGCGGGGGGGGATCGTTGAGAAAAGGGTACACTGAGTGTCCGGGGTCCCCCTGGTGATGCCATCACAGGGCATAGATTAACGGCCGGACATCGGACATTTTCCGGCCATTTTCGGCCACTGACTGGACGTTTTCAATTTCACCGGACATAGTGTCCGGTCAAAAAGTAAAAAAAGAGCAGCGACCTTTCGACCTTTTCATGCAGAGATGGGCTTTCTTCGGAGCTTCGTGCCAAATGCGACTTGCATATCGTACAACTAACACGTACACCGTAGTCTCAGGCGTAGACTTCACTATAATTATTTACTTGATCCGCCTGTAGCAATGCGTTGTTGCTACAGTCAATTCACACTTTCGACCGTTGGTGTCGACTTCGCACTTGAATCGATGGGTTGGACTGCTAGTGCAGTTGTTCGCTCTTGAGAGGAAGATGTCATCTTTTATTTTTCACTCTTTCACTGTACTACTAAAAAAAAGAAGAAACGCCCTGAAAATGTGCTGTGGAAAATGTCCGGGCATGTCCGGACAGATTTCAAAATGGAAGGACATTTGTCCGAGCTAAATGAAATCCTTAAGCTATGCCCTGCCATCAGTGCTTGTTCTGCACCACCAGGGCATGGTCAGCACTGACCCGCACTGCTGTCTGGAGATTACGAAGTGCTTGTCGCACTGGAAATGCAGGGTCTATGTAAGTTTGTATCCCTATCGGGATGTTCGTGTCTGGAAATCACTACAAATGATTTTCTCCTTTCTGAACATTCCATGCTTTCACCACTGACCAGCCGCACTGAGCTTACACTTGATCATTATTACCCATTTTGAGTTCCATAATCACTTTCACTGCTTCGCCGCTGTATTTCGTATCTCGGCTAAGTTACATGTACGAGTAGTTGTGTCCTCCGCTTTCACTACCTAGTATTCACTCAACATGTCACTAAAAGTCATAGCACTGACTACGTCCATTCCGGCATTAGATTACCAATGGCTGTGTTATTGGGCAGGTTGAACAGACGGCAGATCTTTGATACCGTCACAGTCTCGTTGCAATGGAAGGCCAATCACTTGATGAGCCAGGGAGCGATGGGTAACTTGTACACAATATTCGACATGCTGCTGAGAACTGGATACAGCATGCGCTAGAAAGTGTGAGTTGGTTTCAGCACTTGCGGTGGTTGCTGAGAAGTTCGGTATCCATTATAATAAAAAGTGGACAGGCAACCAACCATGATGAAGTGCTGCTGCAGCTGCTGCTTTTCTTTTAGATCGCAAATCAAAGTGACATGAACTATCCCAGTGTTCATACACCTAGCCGCTAGCCTACGTAATGGTTGATTGAATTGCATGTAGCAGCAATACGCGGTCACATGATTACTAGATTAGCTATGCTAGGCTGTACACCTACACATGGCCATACCACTAATGATACACACATAAACACATTTCACTCATTGTGGAAAGTCACACACGACACTATTTTTTGTGGAGTTCTAATAACACAACGCCACTTCTTACATCATCCTTGAGTTCGTCGACGAGTCCTTTATCCTCGTCCTCTCCCGTCACGTAGTTCTTCATTTTCTGAAACGACCCCGGCATCGTGATGGCCTATTCGCTACGCCTCGACAATAGCCACTAAACAAATATTCACTACACACCAGCAGCTAACCACGGGACAAAGCTCGTCGCAGTTTGACAAATCTAGAACGCGCGCGCCGGCTTGAATATTTTTTTGCGCGAGTCACAAGAGGACAAATGGTGCAAGTAAAGACGAAATTGAAATTCGAGCACTTGAAGAAGCCCAAGGAAGCTTGCCAATTACTAAAACGTCGACTAGTATTCAGGAAGTGACGCTTGGCAGGTCTTGCAGTGGAGACCGTTTAGTCACGGATACGATTACGAGCCCTTTCCTAGCTTGCGCAAGTCCAGGATAGCTCTGATATGACTCTGACAGTCTGAGAGTGAGAGGCTTCGTTTTCTTTCGCCTGAGTGTCGTCAAGTCATGAGCGAACACGGCATCCGATCCCCCGACTCGCTAGATATCTGCATGCAACACTCACTTGCAATCAATGCACAGTCTGTTGCAAGCATTAAAGGGGAAGTATACCCTAAAATCAAATTTTCACCAGTTGTAGTCTTCTGGGTGCTGAGTCGAATGGTCTTGGTCCGAGGAAGCTGCGACGCTCCCTTCCTACTTGAATCCCAATCGAACTCGCGCACTTCCACCGAAACTGGGTGACTGCGCCCTACTAGATGGGGATTTGTATGCAAAATGTCACTAAAAGCGCCATTTCGTTCTTATAAAAGCACGGATGACCGCGATTGGCCCATATGTTGTAGTCTTTTGGACGCTGAGTCGACTGGTTTTGGTCCGAAAAGGCTGCGATGCAGCGTTCCTCCTTTATTCCCAATCGAACATGGTTGAACAAGCGGTCACGTGCTCCTGCGTACACCAGTCACCTGGTCACCGTGCCTGCAGGGTACAACTTACTAGCCTGTTTGACCTTTTTTGGGTGCAGTCCTGTCACTCGAGTTGAACTCGAGTTGAACCTTGGTGTGAAAGTTGTCACCTGCTGGCGCGGTGACCAGGTGATTTGGGCACCCAGGAGCACGTGACCGCTTGTTCAACCATGTTCGATTGGGAATAAAGGAGGAACGCTGCATCGCAGCCTTTTCGGACCAAAACCAGTCGACTCAGCGTCCAAAAGACTACAACATATGGGCCAATCGCGGTCATCCGTGCTTTTATAAGAACGAAATGGCGCTTTTAGTGACATTTTGCATACAAATCCCCATCTAGTAGGGCGCAGTCACCCAGTTTCGGTGGAAGTGCGCGAGTTCGATTGGGATTCAAGTAGGAAGGGAGCGTCGCAGCTTCCTCGGACCAAGACCATTCGACTCAGCACCCAGAAGACTACAACTGGTGAAAATTTGATTTTAGGGTATACTTCCCCTTTAATTTTGAATGTTTTTGATCGCATGCGCATAATTATATGCGCCCAACATTTCTGTATTGTGACGTCAGAACGTCTCAGTGTGACGTAGCCATCGTATGCTAGCCTAGGGCCTAGGGATGGGGATCTCCCTGATGATCTCAGTCTGATTTTCGTGAGACCTTGCCACAACGAAATTAATGCATGAGTGAAGCTGCACACATCTACATGCCTTCAAGGCTGAGTTGGTCTTTGACTTTGTAGTCTTTGTTGGTGGCCACCATCTGGTCGGCAACAACTTGCGTTGTGAATTTACTCACTAGAATAGGTAGCTCAAGTCGTCCTAGTGCAGTAATAGTAGTCCCTTGTCGATCCCTAGTTAGGCAGCGAATTCGTAATGGAGCCTCTGGCAAATTCCTCTCCGAGGGCAAGCCCTGGTCACTCAACAGAAGATATTTCCAGCTGGCATTCTGAGGCGGTAGAAATGGTCAACGGTGGAGACTCGAGCGACTCCGACAGCCTGGGAGAGGAGGTGCTGAACGATTTTCAGTCGCTTATGGGCGATGCTCGGGACATGAGCAGGTCAATGACAAGTCTGGATGGATTTGGCAGTGCCACTGTGTCTCCAGTACGTTGTTCATGAGCACAAACGTTTGAAATAGAATTCATAAGAACAGTACATAAATTGCTCATGTACTCTTGCTCATCTATTAATTATTTACATAATTTATGTTCTGGGCGAATGTCACACAGATTGAAAAACTGTAGTTGTAGGCAACAGACATTAGGGACCTTTCGCATTTGCTACGAAACGAATGCGAAACGAAAGTTTGATTCGGCTCGTAATCGTTTCGTCGAAAACAGATTCAGGTTTCGCAAGTCGTCATGCAAATGTTCATGGCAACTACGAATACGACCGGTAGCTTGGCCTACGGGTTTTTACACGCACACGTGCATGAATCAAGGGAAAACGTGTGTACCTTGCAAAACATGTGTACCCGACGGATTCGGAGCGCGCCACGAATGAAGAGGCTTCCATTCGTGAAAACGAGTTCTCCGCAGGGACTCTGACGAATCCTCGAACCCAGGTGACGAATCAGCATTCGTTTCGTATCCGTACGCGTGGTGCGAAAGGTCCCTATTGTAACCTTTTAAAAACAGTGGTACGCCACATGCAAGGCTCTTTATATTCCGGCCTTGTTTTTCTCTTTCGTTCTCTGCGCTCCGTTGACGTAGTGGGTATGCATGCCCAGCTATCGACGAAAACCTGTAAATATTTTGATATTGTTTGCATGTTATAAATATTTGGGCTAGAAAATGTTTGCATCCAACCACCAGGCAGACCAGTGGTGAGATATTAGGCATACCTTTCTCCTTGTCGTATTGCTGCGGACATTGAGATCCGTTGAGAAGTCAAGCGGCCACGGTGGCGCTGGCCGTGCAGCCGTGAGCACTGCTGCTCCATGTTTGCAGTGTTACAGTGCGTGTACGCGCTAGGCAAGTAAGGCAGCCGTCCCCCAGGTCATTCCATCGGGGTTCTATGTCCACACCAGTACAGTACTACACACACAGTGAAACCTGTCTAAGACGACCGCTTGAGGGACCTTCAAGATGTGGTCTCTGTTACCAGGTGGTCGCCTTAGCCAGGGTCATGTGACCGGCAAGAACATGCCTTGCTCTTGGTTGCAGTGGCCTTCAAGGACAGGTGGTCACCTTGACAGGTGTTACTGAACAGTGAAACTTCAGTATAATTATAATGTATGTCCAGAGTACGTACTGATAGGTACTCTGGATGTAACACACCATACTCCATAGGCTATAACGTGTGATTTTGAGCATCCTGCACAGTGGTACACCTGTCAGTAGGCCTTTTGACTGTTCTCATCGCCTGCGTCCGATGGATTGCCAGCTTTCATACTCCGGGTGCTGCACAGATGACGCCAGTGTTTCCCTTGCTCCAACCTAGCCCAATGGCGCCGATCCACCATAGCATTCTCACGTGCGCACTGACTCTCACACTATCCACCAGTATCTGGGGCCTTTCAAACCAATCTACTAGGTAGCCATTGCTGTCTGTTTGCTAGGTGCTCGTGTGCGGAACTCTGAAAGTTGTAGCAGAGACAGTCTCTCATCTCATTTGTGTGCGTGTGCGTGCGTGCGGGCAGGCGTGTGTGTGCGTGCGTGTGTGTGTATGTGTGTGCGTGTGTGTGTGTGCGTGCGTGCGTGCGTGTGTGTGTGTGTGTGTGTGTGTGTGGCGTGTGTTCTGAAAATATGTGTGCCACAAGCGGGAGCAACCATAAAACAATGTTGTACTTCGAAGTACACACCCATAACTAGGTCTTTACTGTACACCGGGTTACCGTCATCTTCAGTACGTACTCTGCGAGGGCACCTCTCCACATGTTTATCATTGCTTTCGTTGTCACATGACCTTGGTGTGTTACGCCTTGCTTGTGTACTGTCAGGACAAGGTCAAGGTCCTGGCCTCATGTATCCAGGACTTAGACCAGCAGAAGGAGGTACTGTTCTCCACCATCAGCAAGATTGAGTGCAACTCAACGCTGCGAGCGTTAGCCATGGGACGAAAGCTCACGGCAGCCAACTTAGCCATCAAGGTGAGGGCTTTTTTCTTTGCTCGAGCACAGCCACTTTTTCGCCGGACGATACTCTCGACCAGTCACTCACTGCTGTCTACTAGTATGTAGCGAATGGCAACCATTCTCGGTGTGTCGCACAGACAACCTGCTGTAAAAGCCATAATTCTAACGAGGCGCATATATAACGATTTCCCAAAATTGACTAGTTTACGTGTACGAAAGGTAACGATTCTCACTCATTCTCAACGCTCAATAGGACAGTGTATGTATCGATTTCTGTATAACGATTTCTATTTTAACGACAGATTTCTCCTCGTTAACTCGTTAGAGTTAGCACTTCGTTATATATATGGCTTTTACAGTACTCTGTTGTGATGTCTCCGCAAACTGGCATTGTCTTGGCACATCAACATGGTGTGTATGCAGTGTTCTCGTATTGGTCCCTATTGGTCCAGGAATGATACGATTGTAGTGTTGCCTTCCTAAGTGTAGCGAATCCCACCACTGGCACCAATTCTGTAACGGGCCGCAGTCTCTCTCTGAGGCAAATGCAGACGGGTCTCAGTGAACACACTGTTAATAATAATTCTTACTGAACTAAACGGAAGACTACATTGTAAACATTAACTCTGACTCTAACTCTAAACTGACATAAAGAAGGTTCTAACTGGTATCTCTAACTGGCCTTTCTAACTGGCCTTTCTAACTGTAGTTTCTAACTGGCGTATAGAGAATTGTGAACAGCAGCTTTTATAGGCAGACAGCATACGTGCTGCAACAGCAATGGTCACGGCAAAGGCTCAGCAGAGAGAAGAAGAAAGGTCAAAGTAGATGTGTGGGCTACAGTCATTGCACAAGGAATGCCATTTGATTCTATGCAGAAGAAGGAGCTGAATGCAGTGTGGGCAATGGGCGTAAAAGAGGTACCGGGAAGACAGCCATTAGGAATTCTAAGGAAGTCTCATTAGGATGTGTGTAGATAAATGAAAAGGAGGTCGACAGTGAAATGTATCAAAAGGGTCTACAGGGTACATGTGCTAGTATTCCTCAGGTCATCCAGTGTGTGGGAGTAATACATGAACACAGTGAGACTAGTTACTATCCATGTCATGGATCTGCAAGCACGGTACAGAGTTGCAAGTGCGGGACTGCGGGGTACGGGTGCGGTGTAACACGCGTGACCAATACATTGAAAGGGATTCACGCTGCAGCTGTGTAAGTTACTAGCGTGCCAACGCTACACCTTCCTTCTTTAAACAGAATCACGTCCTCGTGATTAGAGTAGGAGTAGCAGAACACGAAGTGACGAACACTGATAGAAGATCATGGAGATGCGCAGACTAGACTGGGCGAGTGACATAAGTTGATATAGCCGGACTCCGACAATCGACTGAGATTAGAAGACACTGGAGGCATGCATGGTCGCGTCGGAATAACCTCGACGGAAGAAGATAGGCAGAATGGATTACTTGCATATACAGGTATGTATTTGTGAACAGCCTCGGTTGATATCCGGACGCAATGAGGACAACTGACATTGAAGTACTGGCCGGAGCGCAGCAGCAGATCACAGGACTGAGAGGTGGTGCGAACATAATCATTGAACATGGTAGGAGATAGCGCATCATACTGGTACAGCGTCAACCGGAATATGGCAAAGTAATATCGGAAATGATAACCTTTGAGAGTATACAGAAGAAATGAACTGATAACAAAATCATAAAATAGCATCACTCCAGGTTCACACGATCTCACGGGGTCAAAAGGGGAAAGAACCGTCCTCCAAATGGGACTTGAAAACCACAGCACTCTTGCTGGCCAACCCTGGCACAACCTGCCAGCACAATCGCAGTTCAAAATCGAACTGAATACATTATAAGGGGCATTGTCACACACATCGTCCCAGGTTAGCTAGATAGACCGTGGCTCACCATGATCGGACGCCTACCTAACTAAACTGGATTCACACACTCGCATAAAGGAAGACTGAAGAGAACAGGAAGACTGAAGGAAGACAGGAAAGAAAATGCCATATCGGGAATTAGCTTACATTGGACATGGAGCTTGATCAGTAGAGACGCTGTCCGTCATCATTTCGGGCTTGGGGGAGACGTGGCGGGCGAAGGAGTAGCGGCGACTGGCGCATCAGGTTGGGCCATGCTGGTACCGCTTACACCAATAAAACAATTTACCGCTGCCATCAATTCTGTAGCGCCGCTGCCATCAATGCAATACAGATACTAGGTGGGTTCGAATCTAGCAATTATAAAATTGAACCACCGCTGCCACCATTTCTGTAGCGTATCCCACCACTGGCACCAATTCTGTAACGGGCCGCAGTCTCTCTCTGAGGCAAATGCAGACGGGTCTCAGTGAACACACTGTTAATAATAATTCTTACTGAACTAAACGGAAGACTACATTGTAAACATTAACTCTGACTCTAACTCTAAACTGACATAAAGAAGGTTCTAACTGGTATCTCTAACTGGCCTTTCTAACTGGCCTTTCTAACTGTAGTTTCTAACTGGCGTATAGAGAATTGTGAACAGCAGCTTTTATAGGCAGACAGCATACGTGCTGCAACAGCAATGGTCACGGCAAAGGCTCAGCAGAGAGAAGAAGAAAGGTCAAAGTAGATGTGTGGGCTACAGTCATTGCACAAGGAATGCCATTTGATTCTATGCAGAAGAAGGAGCTGAATGCAGTGTGGGCAATGGGCGTAAAAGAGGTACCGGGAAGACAGCCATTAGGAATTCTAAGGAAGTCTCATTAGGATGTGTGTAGATAAATGAAAAGGAGGTCGACAGTGAAATGTATCAAAAGGGTCTACAGGGTACATGTGCTAGTATTCCTCAGGTCATCCAGTGTGTGGGAGTAATACATGAACACAGTGAGACTAGTTACTATCCATGTCATGGATCTGCAAGCACGGTACAGAGTTGCAAGTGCGGGACTGCGGGGTACGGGTGCGGTGTAACACGCGTGACCAATACATTGAAAGGGATTCACGCTGCAGCTGTGTAAGTTACTAGCGTGCCAACGCTACACTAAGTACAGTCACTGGTGTGTGGTGCTGCGCAAGGATGTGCAATGTGTCTGCGCAAGGATGTGCAATGTGTCTGTGAAAAGCAACTGGATGCTAGTAAAACATACTAGTAACTGGAAGTGGTGGCTTGTTTCAGCAGCAGAGTAGAGAAATGGCAAAGCATGTGAAGAGATTGCTAGGGTGTTTAATTCCCACGCTATCCACGTGCGATAGATTTTACTAGTTGCTCTGTTTGTACGATCGTAATCGTGTCTTTTGGTCCTATATTGTCTTGTTGACAGGATCTGCAAGAGAAGTCGAGCCAAGATGCTGATTCCATTGCTAGTGCTGACAAGGAGATTGAGGCATTACGCTCTGACGTTGAGTCCCTGCTGACCATCTTGTCTACTGCGTTCTGTGATGGAGAATGGGAGGTATGATGTGATGCTGTTCATGAGCCTATGTTTTAGTTTGTGTATGCCTGGACGTGATGGCGCCATGTCATCGCTGGGCATGTAAGCCAGCAATAGTGCAACATGTCTTGTACTTTTCTTTGATGTTCATGGCTTACCCCCATCACCCCTGCCCCCCCCCCCCCCCCCCCCCCCCGCACACACACACACACACACAATGTCATCTTGTTCCCCTTGTTTGTTCTTTGTATGTCTTTCATGCCACTTTCAACTTTTCAGCATTTTCCCTACCCTCTCCACCATTTAGATCTGCCGTGACTTGTCTGCACCCCACTCACGGCTTTGTCTTCTGTTCTCTGCTGCTTGCAGTGCCTGGATGGCGAGTTGAATACGGTGGACATGGAGCGGCTGCCAGGCAAGAACGGTGCCCTGTCCGTAGAGGGGTGAGTTGCTGTCTTCGTCTTCTTCTGCACTTTTATAACCGCAATCAATAAAACAAGCTGAATCATGCATGGAGGAGGAGAGTTAGTTTCTTGAATCAACATGTGTAAACTTTATTCATGCTGTGTCAAACGGTTGGGACAATGTGCGATAAAAAAAAATGAAAGTAGGAAGGAATAGTGAAGAGAACAATGATCCTAACAAGTTTTCAATTTTCTTCTTCACTTCTTTGAAGTTCTTTCCCTTTCGTTTCACACGCACCTTTCACATCTTTCTGGTGCTGTTATCGGGATATATGCCCACTGGCTTATATACAGAAGGCTTCGATATTGCCATAGTCTTCGCATTATGTGCACAGCGGAGGATCTTATCTTCGTGTGCGTATCTACTTCTGATCTTTCTATTGTGTGTAGGTTGCAAGTGCTCAAGCTACAAACTAAGGTGAGTTTCCTGTGCCTTCCGCCGGCATTAATCTACCCCCCCAGCATTGTCATACACTGTCAGTCACCGGTATGTCCATCGGGCATGTTTGAGATGTGGAGCAGCAGCACAAATTGTATTTCTGGGCAAAAGGCGCAATGTGTCCGGTACAGGAGGAGGGGGGGGGGGGGGGGGCACATTCTAGAGTGGTGAATGAAACAACCTGGTTTGACAGCCAGAATTTGTTAACATTTCACATCGCTAACGAACAAAATCCGGGGATCATTCACTCAAATTGACGTTAGAAAATTGTAGTCTTCACAGGATTTACCGTAAAGTACCACCAGAGTGCCCCACCATCTGAGCATCTCGTCCTTTCGTGGTCATATTGTGGAGGTGGTCCCCTGTCTGTAGGTCATACGACACGAACCTTGTACACATATTACACGTTATGCAGTCAATCCGTACTCGATTTACCTTCAAGCAGACACGAGCTCCACACAAAAACCTGCTAAGTGTGACCTTAGTATACTGAGGTTCTCACACCGTACACACTTCGTTGCACTCTGCCTTACGATTTTCCTTTCCCTGGCTGTAAAACCAAGGCGGGGCGCTCTCGCGGTACTTTACGGTACTTGGAATCTTTGACTTGTGTTTGTTGTGCTTTCTGCTGATGTTTTTCGCATGCTTTTCGATGTCCGTGCTCAGTTGTCCGAGCAGAAGTCCGAATTGGAGGCATACCGCCACGAGGTGACTCGTCTCCGTGACCAGCAGACCGCCGACCTGGAGCAGCAGTTTGTTCAGCTTCAGGATGAGGTATGAACATTCTAGGATACGAAACCATCAATACCTCTCCTGGCGTAAATACCGGCATGGCCAATAAATAGCATCCTCAGTTGCCTGATGGTTGCGTAAGAATTATATCCAGAGTAGTGGAAAACTAGCCTTACTTGCCCTTATTGTTCTGTGTACATTCTAGGATACATTGTAGATTTCCGTAGAGCGCAGTTAGCATATTTAATCTTTATGCTCGGAAAAGATCATTGTGACACTGTTTCTGCTGGAATGAAGTCTTGTTACGAAGTGTTTTGTATGCTGGGATATACTTCCTGCTGGACAGTGTCGGTGTTGGTTTCTGTATTGGTCTGCAGAATAGCAAGGTTGTATGTGTTGCATGTCCGGTGGAATCTGTACTACGTATACCCTGTCGGTGACCAGCCATATTCCTCCTGTATACTATAGGGTCTCTTAGGGAGGTGTTTCAATCACAGATTGCATTGCAACTCGAATTGGGAGCAGTTTGGACACTCAACACCCATCCTTTGCGAAGAGGTGTCCTTAGTTGAGAGGTATCCTTTGTTGAGGGGCATCCTTTGTAGAATGACGTCTTTTGTTGTGTGGTGTCCTTTGCTGAGAGGTGTCCTTTGGTGAGAGGTGTCTGCTTAGGGAGGTTCCACTGTACGTATGCATGACTTTCATTTCTCTCACTGTGTCCATGTCATGTGTAGCTTTCAAGCTGTCGTTCTCAAGGCGAAGGACTTCACAGCCAGGTAAGAACGTAGCCAGACACCACACTGATGTGCACAATCACATTCTCAGTAGTGATCAACATACCACTGTGATGTTGTGTTTGATGGGGGAAGAGAATTTTTCAAGGTTTGTGGTATTGGGTAAGTCGTACGGATCCTTTATTATTACAGTAAAACCTGGTTTAAGCGACCACCCCACGGTGCAAGCAAAAGCGGTCGTTAAAGCCAGGTGGTCTTTAGAACCAGGTCCAACTGTTGGTGCATGGAAAAACGGTCGTTAAGAGCAGGTGGTCGCTAAACCCAGAGGTCGCTTACACCAGGTTTTACTGTACTAGCGTTGTATCTACTGATACAGTGTCGAGTTCTTCTCCTCATTTTAGTTCATCATGCAGTGAGTGTTCAATAGTAAAAAAAAAACAAAAAAAAACAAACAAGAAACAAAAAAAACAAAAAAAAACAGGGCTTGATTCATACACACCTACAAGTCTGCTTGTACTCACATATGTTGTTGTTGTTGTTGTTGTTGTTGTTGTTGTTGTTGTTGTTGTTGTTGTTGTTGTTGTTGTTGTTGTTGTTGTTGTTGTTGTTGTTGTTGTTGTTGTTGTTGTTGTTGTTGTTGTTGTTGTCGTCGTTGTTGTCGTTGTTGTCGTTGTCATTGTCGTTGTTGTTGTCGTTGTCGTTGTCGTTGTCGTTGTTGTTGTCGTCGTCGTCGTCGTTGTTGTTGTTGACTAGCTGTCCACACGCGAAGCAGAGCTGCAGCGACTTAACAACGAGATGACACAGCTGACCCAGGAACTAACCGAGAAAGATCAAGATGTAAGTGGGAGACGCAGCATCGGCCTTTCTTGTACCGGGGGGGGGGGGGGGGGGGGGGCAGAATGGCTACATACATGTATTTCCTCTTTCTTCTCTCCTGAGTTGAATAATCCACTGGCGAAATACAACCGGAGAGTCATTTCTTTGGTTACTGACGGCTCCTGAGCAGTCTAAAAGCAAGCTTGACCATAGTCTGTAAAAAATTGGCAGTCAACACTTGGCTGTGTGCACTGGTGCAGGGCTCAAACGTGACTCACAGAATCAGGTTTTAGAGAGCAGCACTGGGACTGCTAACAGTTCTGTCTCATCTTCATACTCCTTGCTGTGTCTTGATTGCCCTTTTACAGACTAGATAGGGAAGGGATTCGAACCCACAAACTGGGTTTGTGGGCCCTTTTTTTGTATCAGCTGGCACCACCAAGCTTATCCAAGGCCCTACTGGCTGGGCTGGGAATGTCTACAGAACAAATTTTAACTCTTTTCTGGAAGAGCCAGTTCATTGCCCTTGACAGATTTATTCAAAATGGGAATATAGTCAAAAGTAGCGCCGCGTTTCCATTTCCATTACTTAAAACCGGAAAGTTTAGCGATCAAATTTTTTAACATTTTTGTAATTTTGGCATGATAACGTGCAGAAAGTTCAACGATGGCTACCTGGCCACCAATCTGTATGCGCATCTTTACACAGACATCTCGCGACAATAGATCGTTTCTTCAAATAACGAAAAAATGGTCGTTAAAACGTTAGACCTTGTGACTCGTTAGACTCTCCGGTTTTACAGTACATCATGTATGGTCTGAAAAGCCATCCGAGGGCTGCAGCGGCCGCATGAGCCTTGGCGCTGCTTTCGGCACGTGGGCTGGATTTCTTTGGCCACGACTGTAGTAGTATATGATAGGCAGTGCCCTCATGTCACCTGCTGGTGTGGCTTTTCGGCGCCGGCTCTTGGTCCGCGGCTGGGGTGGCCCAGTCCCGTCACCACCAGCAGATGGTTCGCCCTACTTTAAAGGATGGTCTGAAGCGTGTGTAGGTCCATACAAACACTGGATCCAAGTGGATCTAGTGTAAAGGCAAAACTTTTCGGTGGTGTTTTATTTTCGGTAGCTTCGGTGCCGACAATTTTTACCGAAAATAAAACGCGCCGAAAATGTCTGTACTACCGGTACAACTATACATGTAGTACTAGTACGCTTACCTGGAAATCGGGTTTTACCGAAAATTTCCCTCCACCGAACCGCCGATTTTGGAAAATACTGAAAATATTACACCACCGAAAATTTCTGCTTTTACAGTAATAGTCAGCATTGTCATGACTCTGGCCTGGCTGTGGCGTAGCACGTTCAAGCCCCATGGTTTTTTTCCCCCTTTGAAGGGCCCTATGGCAAAAATCGTGAAAACTCCCTTGTTATCACCACGGCCGATAAGAGGTTGTTGTTGTTGTGGTTGTTGTTGTTGTTGTTGTTGTTGTTGTTGTTGTTGTTGTTATAGAGTGCTGGGAACCTGGCGTTGATTCAGAAGCTTCAGAGCCAGTACGAGAGTTGTCTTGGAGAGGTAAGACAATGGTCGTCTGGTCTTTTTGTGGACCAATTGTTTTGTGGGTTTGCAACTAGTGGGAGAGAGAGACAGAGACAAACAGACAGACAGACATACACACACACACACGCAGACAGACACACCCGCACAGACAGACAGACACACACACACACACACACACACACACACACACACGCACAGATAGAAACAGACAGAGACCGAAACAGTGGCAGAGAGACAGACACAGACAGAGAGAGACAGAGATGAAGAGAGGGAGAGGAAGAGAGAAGAGAGAGAGAGAGCAAGAGAGAGTTGGAGAGAGGGAGAGAGAGAAGAAAGGAGAATGGAGAAAGGAGAAGAGAATGGGTGAGTGAGACATGGAGAAGCTAAGCACAACTACTAAAGGGTACTGGTGCTACATGCGGCACAGCGTTCAAGCAGTGGTTGATGTGAGGGGACACAGCCTTCCTTGTTTATTTAGTTTTCCGTTGTTCACCTTGGTGTTTTCGTTGCAGACTACCAAGCTCAAATCCACCATCGAGGAGCTTGAGCCACAAGTGACCTGCTTGACAACGGATGTGACACGCTTGGAGAAGGAACTTGCAGCGTCACAGTGCTCCAGCCATCTAGCACAAGAGCAGGTACGTATACATGTACATGTATGAGCTCTAGCTGTTTAGGTATACCGTAAAATCCTGCCAGAGCGCCCCTACCTCCGCCACCCTTCGAGTAGATCCATTTGGGGAGGGACGGATGGGCGAGTCCTACTTGCCGCATTCAGTACTACATGAAAAAGTACTCACCCTACAAAATCTGTGCGTGCGTCTCCGACTCTCGTCTACCGACCAAAGGTGAAGAGCTGGGAGTCGTACAGGCCCATCAAAAACGAGGTTTTTGTGCGATCCCTGGTCAAGAGGGTGGGAACTGTTGCATACGTTTCCAACCAGGTGGAGGACGCGTCTGCAGTACAGTATGGCCTCACACACTTCACAGAGTCAAGCGAGGATACAATCATTATCACTTCCCTGACAAGAAGTCAGGGAGGGGCGCATGGGAGAGACGGGGTGCTGTGGCGGGGTTTTACGGTACACGTATCCTGGCTGTCTGCCGTATGTCAGCGAGCTTTTCGCATGCATCCTTGCTACCCTCTTGTGCGGCCGGTACATGCAGTGCATGTTCTATCCTCTTGTGTGGCCAGTTCATGTGATTTTTCTGTCTTAACCCTTTGGCGTCCATGGTTCGATTTCGAACCATGGCATTTTGTACACATGTGGGCGCAGTCAAACTTCGGTTCTCGGCCTAATCTTGACCAAATTCAGCAATCGAAGGGTCTAGGTCGTAGAGAAAACTCTCAGCTGTCGCCTCGAACAGGTCCGAAGTCTCTGCGGTGAAGTTTGAGTGAGCGGCAAGCAATCGAATATTTTGAATTTTCTGCGCTGCGTGCTGCGAGTAAGCAGTGCGTGAAAATGGGGATTTCCCCAGCTTCAGGACACGCGGCACGTGCCAGGACCAGCGCGGCGGGAAGTCACGGCAAGGCTTCTACTCGAAAAAAATTGAACAGTTCCGAGCTAGATTCAGTGAAGTGGCTGCAGGAGACAGATTTTGTCTCAGATCTGGAGCTGGACTCGCGTTTGGAGCGCGTTGTGGCGGACAAGGAGTGGTGCTCTTGGCGAGTTTGGGCTCATTGTACGTCTCTCATCAAGAGCTTTCCAACAAACCCAAGATCTTCAAAATCGGTGAAGTAGAACCAAAGTTATGTTGGAAATTGAGAGCGCATTTTCGTGACTGTGCCACAAATTCTGAGGAATCAAAAAAGTTATGGACTCCCAAGGGTTAACATAATGCAACTCCACTACAGCCACTTGCACGTTAAAGAAGGCTCTAAAAGTGTACGGATCCCGGTGTCAATGCTGCATTAGACTGAATTTGAGATTTTTTGAGATTTGCAAAATTGTTACTGCTCTGATCTGTGTGTTGTCTGTATAGAAGTACTCACCTACTACATGCAGTCCTGGTAATACATGACTGCTGTTTGGTTGTGTGTCTTCTTCTGTCCGTACGCGTTAGGTGGAAAACTTGAGGCATGATCTTGAGGTGGTGGAGACCAGCGCTGCTCGTGACGTGTGCTCGTGGCAAGAAGAGGTACCGATGGCCTTTCGTTTATCCATTATATACCAAAGAACGTGTAACTAGACTTGGAAGGGCATTGCAGAGTAGTTGCATATAAAGTTCAAAGCTGTACGGTTACCTGTGACTTGTGCTCCTGCAGAGCTCATGGCCTACTGTGTCCACATTGTAGGATGATTTGTATGCAACTGGTGTACAATGCCCTCCGAGTCTAGTTGCACGTTATTTGGCATATCATCTCTTGTGTTTAAGGTGCCTCTGTTCTTCGTTATGGTGACTAGATTGGGAAATGTATGCATAGATTGGTAGAAGATTTCGCATGCCAATCACTAATCAGGGATATGTTGCAAAGTTTGATTGTATTCCTACAGTGTGCGCATCTCTGTTTGAATTTTAACTGTTAGCGTTTGCGCCACTTTGATTATCATGGCATCTGTGTGTTTGTTTGTGTGTGTGTGTGTGTGGGGGGGGGGGGGGGTGTCTCTCTCTCTCCCTCTCTCTCTTCCTCTCTCTCTCTCTCTCCCTCTCTCTCTCTCCCTCTCTCTCTCTCTCTCTCTCTCTCTCTCTCTCTCTCTCTCTCTCTCTCTCTCTCTCTCTCTCTCTCTTTCTCTCTCCTCTCCAGGTTGCAAAAAGAGATGCAGCTCTTGAGCAACTGCGACAGGAGTTGTCCACTTGTTCCACCCAGTACGCAGATAGCACTGGCAAGGTGAGTCCGGCAGGTGCCAGTAGCTTTGTGTGCTTTTCCTTGCCGTAGATATCAAGCAGTGTCTCCGCGTGTTAATATTTGCTGCTGCGGTCCTGCTGTGTCGAGGTCCCGTGCTACACGGTCTCCTCCTTTTCTTAATGGTGCGGCCTGCAGCCAGCACTACAATGATTGCACCACGCGTCAGCCAGCACTACGCTGATTTGCGAAACTCACCTTGCCAGTCTCTAGAGTGTTGACAATGTGATAAAGGATTACCTTCCACCATACACATAGCAGAACAGAGTGTGCAGGCTCAGGCCTTGGCAATGTGGTCTTGTACAAGATTTGTTTTTGCAGGGATCCCTATTTATTGATCTGCATACGTAAACACTAGAGAGGTTGCGCACAACGATAATTCGTAAGATTTCGACCGTCCGGGTTCAAGTAACGAAAGTTGCTGCGAAGATCCGTCCGAACGCGACCGAAGCAGAGCAGATCTACGAAAATATTTTCCGTAACGTGGAGTACTAAAATACTGATATTTTACAACTCCCTGTCTGACTCTCTGTACTCGCGCGCACCACGTTGACCTACTACGAAAAAGTTCACACGTAGTTCGCAACGTCACGATTTACGAATATCCGTAAGCTTGTTTTCGTTAAAAATATTCGTTACGGCGCTACAAATTTTCGTTGTGCGCAACCTCTCTACTGCGGCCCTATTATGTCTGTTGTATGTGCTCTGATTTACATTCAGGTGCGCGAGCGCGAGCAGAAGATTTCGCAGCTTGAGCTACTGCAGGCGCAGTGTACCTCGGATGTAAGCACCAAGTACTAATTCTTTGTGACATTTGTACTTCAAGGGAATAATCGCATTGCACTGCACCGTAACATTTGTGAGCAGCATCCGCTCTGTTGGAATGATAATACACCACAGATAGATTGAGCTAGCTCATCTCCTGCTATAGAATTGTGGTGCACACAGGGATGGGTGCTTGCGTGTGACTTGACGATACTGGGGTGGAGTATGAATGATAATGATTCCAGGCGACTCAAAGTGCATGTGATATTACATGTACACGGCAGGGCTATGCTGCTTTGTAGCCTTTGCAAAGGTTTTTTGTCGTCCCAGAATCGAACATAGTTCATTTCGTACTCGGACCCCCTCCCCTCTCTTTGAAGTGAACGCAGCTGCTATGCTGGACGTTGAAAATTGCATGCATGTACAGTTGCGCTCACTGAAATCCAACCCAATGTGCAAAACTGGCACCCTCAACTTCCACGGCCCTTGACGCCCTGGCAGTGGAATGAATGCGGCTGGACGTACACATGTACACCCACAATGATGTAATCGGAACTGGTCCAGGGCGCCAGCTTTGCACTTTGGGTCAGATTTCAGTGAGCGCAACTGTATATGTATATGTACAGTATCGGTCAACTTGTGATTATGGCTCGCACCCCCCCCCCCCCCCCCCCCCCATGATGTTCATTTCGGGGACGACAACATATTTTTGCGACGACCCCTGAGATACTTGCACAGAGTGAGGGTGGCAGCACTTGCAGCGCCATGCAGTGGGTGTGGACTGAGGTGTGCTCAATGACTAACAATGCCTGGAATGTTTTCTCTGATAACCTTCTCGGCTGTGATGTGCAGATTCTGGAACGTGAGAAGGCCATAGCTGGACTGGAGGCTAGACTTTCTGACACAGAAATACAGGTATGCCTCCGATGCATTGTATACATGTCTGTTTTAAACGTTTTTAGAAGGGTACCCAACCTTGGCCAATGCTCTGTGTGTGTGTGTGTGTGTGTGTGTGTGTGTGTGTGTGTGTGTGTGTGTGTGTGTGTGTGTGTGTGTGTGTGTGTGTGTATGTGCGCAACAATTGTTCTATTTATTGTGTTAGTACTGTAGACAAGTTGGTCGTGTTTTCTCCTCGCTTTATGTGTATTGGTTCCACTCTTGTTATCAGCTGCAAACACAGAATTTTCTCTCTATATCCAGTGGCTATTCTCCTTGTACATGCACACTCATTCACCTCCATCCCTACGTACAGTCGTTGTGGTTTTAAATAGGCCGTCGAAGTCTGACGTCACAGCTTCTTGACAACGCATAGTTACTTGGCCAAGTGGTGACAAACAAAAGTTGCGTCACCTGCACTTGTCGTGTTTCCAGTGACAGCAGCATGCAGTGAATACAGCTATAGCATCATTTTTGACTGAGGAGCGCGCGAACGAGACAATCTATTTCAAATAAACTGCTACTTGTCGCCGAGTTTGTAGTTTTCGCTTTGTAGAGGAGGAGAAGCAGTAGCTGATTTTTGCTTGGCCACTGCTGTGCCTGTACTGTCGTTCGGCTTTACATGTAGTCGCCGGCCAAGAAGCAATGATGGCTGTCTCTGTTATTTCATCCGCGGCAGCGATCGCTGATTTCTTTTAGTTCTGAGACCAACCAACTCTGGGCTCGTTTCCTTGTCCAACGGCAAGTGAAAATCAGAACTCCTATCTTTCAGGTGCTGGTTAACACTCAGCAGGAAAACTCTGCACGATGGCTTGAGAGCGAAGGAGAAGCTTCTTGAAGTAAAACAAATTTTGAAGTCGCGATCTTGCACCCGGGCGCCCCAGTCAAAGTGATGCCGTGACCGTTGGAAACACGACAAGGGCAGGTGACGCGACTTTTGTTTGTCACCACTTGACCTTGTAACCGTAACTACTTTAGTACGAGTTTTCAGGCAGCGTGACGTAGGCACTTCGACAGCCTATTCCGAAGGCCCTAGTGTGGCCCTGGTGTGCATATGTCTGGGGGGGGGGGGGGGGTTGAATCAAGGCTGGCTTTTGATGAGCCTTGGTTTAGCAAGTAGGGACTCACCAGTAGCTACGCATATTTTTAAAAGCTTTTGCTCTCATTGTTGCGTGGCTGTATGTTGTTGTTGCTGCTGCCGTAGGCTGAGGATAAAATACAGTCCATGGAGCGGCGAAAGCAGGACATTGAAGAACAGGTACGTTATTGTACTCTAACTGACGTGCTTGTGGTTGTAAAGATAGCAAGCACGGATGGGTGTTGTTCTCATGGCTGGGCTGTTTGTTTCACACCTGTCATCATGGTGTGCTGAACTGATATATTTCCTGTGCCGCCGGGTTGTCTTTCATTGCTCTGTGCTGTGGTCACCGTCTCAGCGTCTTGCTCCCACTGCTATGTTTACTCTCTCTCCACTGCACGTTGCTTCTGTTTCTCAGCTTCATTGCCGTGATCAGCTGTTGGCTGCGGTCAGCGTGGAGCTCAGCGCCATCCGCCGTCACTACAAGGACTGCTGTGAGGAGCTGCAGCGTCTGGAGGACACACGGCAGGAGATGAGCGATCGCTGCTCCACGATCGAGCAGGACTGCTCGAGCTGCAGCGAGCGTGTGCGCGACGTCAAGAGCCAACTAACGTTGCTGGATGGCTGCCCGGATGAAAACTCGGATAGTGTGAGTGCGAGAATACATTTCGCTGCAAGTACAGTGGTGCTCGGTGAAATCAGATCAAGGGAGTTAAAAAACGAGTCGTGACAGATGTTTTTTTGGAGTTCCACATTTTTTTGAAGTTATTGACTCTTGATTGGTATGGTTCAGGTTCAAGCAAGAAGGACGGAGATGATTATTGGAAGCTCAGCTTTCATCTGGCCTTCTCCAGTCCACGGTCTTAGTCACATCTGTCTCTCTTTCTCTCGTTTTCTCTCTCACTGTTTGGAAGCACGAACGGAAGCGAAAAGGTGGTTCTTGACCCCCCCCCCCCGTCTCTGTACCCGGATCCGTGATAATTATTATTTATTACCCAGTATTTTTGCCACGTTTGTGAGTGCCCTGTTATCGTGTGAGTGTGCTCATTTTATCTTCAATTTGCATCTACTTGCGACTGACCTGCTGTGCTGTAGGTTGATGGCATGTCGGCATCACTCTTCGCTTCGCTCTCCTGCCCCCCGCAGGATGGTGGCGTGTCCAGGGTGCAGTTGCCGCGTGCGCTAGAAACGGGCGTGGAGGTGCGCGAGGCCGCACTGTGTGACCTGCGCGCCGAGGTAGACCAGTGCCAGCAGCTGTACTCGCAGGTGAACGATCGCATCCAGGAGCGCCAGCACTATCTGGATGCCGTTCAGCCGGCTTATCAGCATGCTGAGAGTGAGGTAAGCCTCCGAAAGAGTCCTCCGCTCTACTGATTGCTCTGATTGCCGGTGATTTTGAAGCGTCTTGGTGCAAATGGTCTTGTCGGATTTACCAGTGGCCCGTTGGTAACCTGAATGCTCGCATTCTTTACAATGACAAGTAAAAGGGCGAAGAAGTCTGCCAAAGTGCTCCACAGCAAGGCTGCTACCCTAGTTGTGCCAGAAGCAGAAGAACAGAAACAGGAGCTGTTGGAGCAAGCTGAGAAGGTGTACAGTGCATTACTTGGGCTAAACTATGTTCTGGCCAGATTTGAATCTGTTTAGAATCAGAATCCAGCCTAAATTGGTTTTGGAAAATCCCAGAGATCACTAATTTCTGATGGGACTACAGTGTTTGACTTGAGAGCACTTACTTTGCAGGTTGGTCCGCCATGACTTGTACTTTGGGTGTCTGCATGTTTGTATGTCAAGGTGGAGTCTTGCCGTTCGAAGATCGAAACCATCCAGCAGCAGCTGGACAACCTGAGGAGTCGTGAGTCGGAC